ACCGCTTCTTCGGCGACATCAACTTTTCAAATGACGTTTTTCACCGTCATACATGTAAGAATTAAAAACTATTTACTGATATGGATACTACGATAGTTTGTTGTTCGCACATGATTCAAGATGGAACTTTGAAAGCCCTAATTAGTAAGATGGAAGAAGATATCAAAGCGATTCCGCAATTACGGGGAAAATAGCGTATTTTTCATATATGAAAAGTGATCCGGGCGCGCAAGGCATCTCGGTTGGAAATAGGCCTTTAATCACGTTTGGAGACACAACCTACGTTTCAACCCAAATGAGACCCTCTCCTCTGTCCTATCCCTAGAAATACTTAGAAGTTTTTGATTAGGCGAGGAAACTACCAATACTTTTCAAAGGAAAGCCACGGTGCTAGCTAGGAGGTAACTTTTCTAGCGAACAAAATTTTAATCAGCTAGATTTAATTTCTTCTATTTAATGGATATTAGAAGCTTACACAGTTCTATTAATTACTCTAAACTACAAAGAATCACTATTTAGGCTCTTGATAATTCAACAGTATTCACTTCAACAAGTTTTAGTACAAAATAGACTTGAAACATTTTCTGTCGACGAGAAAAAATAAATGTCATGAGACCTTATGGTTATCTGCTATGGCAATAACATACGATCCTATCACTTTGGCAAACTGCAAAATAACAAGCACTTTAGTGATCTTTAAAAGATCTGGGTCAGCTTATGAGGTAATTTTGTGATTGTTTTATGGAAACGCTTTACTTCAAATTGATAGAGCAACCATTTTTCTTTATTATAACTGGTCGGAAGCGAAACGGAAATCAAACAAACACGTTTATTCGTAGCACTGTAAACGGTAAACTCACGGTAAACACGGTAAATACTAACGACCGCCAAAAAAATTGCTACTCGAAAAACTCAAAACTCTCAATTCCTCTAAAAGAACTTGCATACGTCGAAAAAAAAGTTTGCGTGAATTCCTGACGGCAGTTTAACTTACGTAATCTCAAAGCAAACGAGCGCGAGTCGCGCGCGCACAAGTTCGGTAACGTCTTCTGAATTAAACTAAGGATAACCTTCAAGAATTTTAGAAAACACTCACATTTATATAATGAGAAAATTTAGTGGTGTTATATAGAAATGTTAATTTCTCTTCAGTTGAATATTTGAATCATAGGATGCAAAATAGGTCAAGACAGCCCAAATTTAACGTCATTCTATGTGGCAAAGGCGTGCGAGTAGTATAGGTAGATTAACTTTGTCTAAACATATTTTAGTTGAACTTTGAACAGTGTATATTGTTATACAGTCAAATAGAGAGACTTGACGACAGCCAGGAGCAGTGATCATGTTCCAACAAACCGTTCTAGTTCTTCCAAAACTTCTGTGGCCAGTCTGAACGCTTCCTGTGCTTGCCAAGAATCTCGGAAAACCTCAGCAGGCACGTGAGGGGGTCTGTGTGCGTTAGGATATCGAGTGCTCAGGTAATAGTTGGACAGCCTGGCTACTTTCAGTATCACATCTGGAGCTCCAGGAAGCAGTGAAAGACCCTGGGCCAATAGAACCAAGTCGTGAGTGTACAACTGCCTGTCTGCAACTCCTGATATAGAGTAAAGAGCTGCTTTGAGAGATTTCTCTGCAATTTGATGACTCTGGAAGCAGACAAGGTAGTGAAGTGGATCTTGGGCAGTCAAGAGAAGTTCTACTGAGCGCAGGTCTTCTTTGCTCTGACGAATCCACATCTTCGCTACGCATGGATTAGGTGCCTTGTAGGTCCTTCTCGAGTGTGATGCGAAACCTGTAAATCGTGGGTTGTGGCGGCCGTATTTTTCGTAGCTTGAGCGCTGTCGTCGAGCTCTTTTATCCCATTGCGTGAAGGAGTCCGAAAAATCTGATGGTGGGCGTCTTGCACAGTCTTCATCGTGGCTTGGCAAGTTTACTTTTGACAGCCTTTCGACCTCATTTTGTAAAAACTTTATGACTTCATTTGCAATGTCCTGCATGTCCATGTTTTTGTCCGGATGCCATCGAAGGTATAGTCGCCTAATTGCTTTCTTTCTCTTTTCTTCCGGAAGTTTCCAAATTTCTGCAAGAGCCTCTTTAACTTCGCTTATGGCGGCGTCCAAATCTCTAGGCTTAGGTTGGTCGTTCGTTTCTTGGGAGGACGAGGGCGATTCTGCTTCCTCTTGTTCAGAACTTTGTCTAGCAGCACCTTCGTAAAGAACAAGGTCCATCATTTCTGAAGCGGACTCTCCTGCTACTTCGTCAACGTTCTCTTGAACCTTTTGTGGTCTTCTTAACTTGTATAGATCCAATACATCGACTTCTTTTCTTCCGTGGCCAACGTCTATAAGATATCTGCTTAGCAAGGTACTTTCTACTCTCGGTTCTCTTATTGTGTTGTCCTCTTTGGGTTTAGTTTCACATGGGAGCTTGTTCACGATTTTTGCATAGATGTACTTGGGATCATCCTCAGTTGAGTCTTCTTTTTCAAATGCAACAAATGCTCCATTTCGAAAATAGAAGTCGTCGTACTGAACGAGGAGGTGATGAAACTCTTCGGGCACTTCTGTGCCAAGAACAGGGTACGAACTCTGCGTATCAGCTGCCTCCACATCCTCAGATACTCCGGTGTCGTCCAATATCAAAGAAATGTGTTCAGGGGACTCACATTCTAGAATACGAGCCAAATGCAACCAGCTTTCTTTGTCGATGTAGCATCCTGTTAGTTGGTTTATCTCTCTACATAGAAACCCGCGTACATTACCAGGATCAGCACCATGATTAATGAATATGTGCTTTCCACCGACTTCATCCCTATCCACAACACAGTCTATATTTGATCTTTGGCTGTATGGAATTGACATATTTGACCTGTTGTCAACAAGCTCAGTGGACAGCTCCGCCATGCAACTGATTCGTAGCTCTTTCTGAAAACTACGAACTTTGTTTTGAACCTCTGTTAGTTTGGCTTTCTGAAATTGATACTTTAATATTCGTATGATGCCATCAACGAGGTGAGTGGAAAACAATATGTCACGAAGGCGATTAGTCTCATGACATGTCTTTTCTACGTCAGCAGAGCACTTCTTGTCCTTGCATTCTGGGTGAAGCTCTTCTCTTACTAGCACTCTTAAGGATGGGATCTTTAGGTGAGCTGGTAGAAGATCAGCAATTTGCTGATGGGTAGCAAACGTTAAATTATATCTCTCGAGTCTATCGAGGGGCTCATACATAGCAGTCGGTATACGATATTTATGCTGAGGACAATCAAACAGAACCAAGTCTACAGATATTCTGAGCTTTTGCTCCTTGCTTGGAAGGTACAGACGTTCGATCTCAGGGAGAGGATTGGCGGACTCACCTCCATTACGATCACGTAGGGCTTTTAGAGTAGAAAATAGGCCGTACACTGCGCGTTTAGCAATCTCGGCTTCATTGGGGTGCATTTTCTCGTCTAGACATGAGGCTTGAAGTCTACCTAAAAGTTTTGCGAACTGTGCAGGTGTGGCTTCCTCTACAGCTCCAAGGCGTTTGAACAAGTGCTCGAAAGGGCCGTATTCTCTCGGAACTTCATACATATACGGTGCTAGTTGCTCATTCAGGTGGAAAGCTAGTTGGTCTCCACGGACAAATACGCGGCCATCTTCAACCAAAATACAAGAGTTGTCAGACAATCGATTTCCAATTTCAAGACACACTTGTGAGCATGAATTAAGAGAGTCCCTTTCTTGGCAGCTGCTTACGCGCTGAAGGAAGGTATATCATGACTGTATACTTCAGTCATGATATCTCCCAGAAGGCGACGTTTGGGCTGTGGTATTTCTCTATCAACGTCCTTTAGGAGATTTTTCGTGAGGTTGGTAACGTGACGAAACAATTTATTGATTCATTCGTCACTTAAGGTTGTGCTTTGAAGTTTTCTCAATATGCTCATTGAGCTGTAACAAGTATTAAAAAAAACTGAAACATGAACATCAACAATGTTATAATGTAAGAGGTTTAAAAAGAAAAATTATATATAACCACAACAACTCCTGCATGATAGATAAGAATTTCTCATTATTCCTTTTTATAAGGTTGAAAAATAAGAATATACAACAAAAATAATTTTTGGATGATAAAAATGACTGTCGTAATTTCTGTTTCTGTTTCATATGGATTTCACAATGGTGTTTTCTGCTAAAACCTAAAAAAGAAGAAAATGTAGCAACAACTAGTTCTGGATGTTAAAACTTTCCATTATTCCTGTTTCTATGTGATGTAGACATAATTTTGTTCGCTATCACACATCAGTAAGCATCTACTTCAAGAATAACTTCCACAATTTCTTGGCTCTATTGACCTCTGTTGGTGCGTAGATCACAGTAGATTACTCTAAATTGAAAGGAAAGAAATAAACAATTAGCAAACAAAAGCCACTTAAAGATTGTCAAAACCCTTTATGTCAACGTAATTTAAAAGAGAAATTCATCACAAAGACACATACGGAAAAACAAAAATTTATTCAGGAAAATCAAAGCAAAGGCTTGGTTGCCCGAGAAAAAAACCGCCGGACCACCAAGGAGAAAAGTTACAGTACAGTTCATGAATTACATCGTGATGTTCAACAGGATAAAGATTAGAGATGCATAATTGAGACGCAAAAGTGGCTCTAAATAGCTCTCTTCTGATCGATGGAATCCCCGACAATTCTTAAAAACTAAGGAAATCAAAGGTAACGTATTGAATTGAGCATTTTTCGTTTCGTTCAATAATCCACGATAAGATTGACATGTTGTCTTCTAACCCAGAACTAACTAATTACGCATGCAGACTCAGCATGACTTCGAAGTTTTCGATTTCTTGGCGCTTTGGAATGCATTTCTTGGCTTCATCTTGAACGAAGTTGAATTCTAAAAAAAAAAATTTAAGTCGACCTTTTATAATATTTTCAATCTTTTGTCGGAAATTTTTACTTTTTAATTTTTGAGCGAACAGATTTTACACCCCTTTCGTTACCCGAGACGCAACTTGTCTGGGAATAAATACTTTTAAATTTAGCTGTTTTGGGTTGTGTGATTTGCGGGTGCTGGGATTTAGAAAATTACTAGACCACTTCAGAAAATACAAAGGAATATTCTTATTAACATTACAAGAAAGTGAAAGCGTTGTGTATTTTAAACCGGGAGGCATATTGCAGTTTTATATCAGATCCACTGTTTCACGCCGGTGTGAATCGAATGTAGATTACATTTATAATTTCACGACCTCAGAGCACATTTAAAACCGAAAATCATACAACATTTAAAGGAAAATTAAGTCCTCATCAAGCAACCAAAGGCAAGGGTTAGGTTGTTCAGCATTTGCCATAAGGACAACCTGGATTTTTTTTCCGATTGGAAATGTGGCGCTGTCTTTGAAGCGCTCTTGTCGGTGACGACGAAGACAGCAGTCATCGAATACTCGAAGGCATCTTTCAAAGCCTTTAATTTAGCCAAATTTGTTCCAACTTCGAAAACTGTGGAATACTGAAATACGCATTCGGAGGAAATTCATTATAAAGTTAGAAAAAAAGACCGCTTCACTTACCTAGTTCGGCATATGGTATTTCGGGGACTGGATGGAACTGGACTGGACTGGACTGGACTGGACTGGACTAGTAAAATCAGGACTAGTAAGGCGCGGACTAGTAAAAGGTGGACTAGTAAAACGAGGACTAGTAAAACGCAGACTAGTAAAACGCGGACTAGTAAAACGCGGACTAGTAAAACGCGGACTAGTAAAACGCGGACTAGTAAAACGCGCACTAGTAAAACGCGCACTAGTAAAACGCGCACTAGTAAAACGCGGACTAGTAAAACACGGACTGGCAAAGCGCGGAGTAGTAAAACGCAGACTAGTAAAACGCGGACTAGTAAAACGCAGACTAGTAAAACGCGGGCTAGTAAAACGCGCACTAGTAAAACGCGGACTAGTAAAACGCGCACTAGTAAAACGCGGACTAGTAAAACGCTGACTAGTAAAACCCTGACTAGTAAAACGCGGACTAGTAAAACGCTGACTTAACAACAAAAACGATTTCATACGAAGGCGATCACAAGACTTGATGGCGAGCCAATTCAGTGAGTGACAATCCCTGTTTGACCTTTAAGCTACAAATGGGTTTGACATGCGCCAGATACAAACGATTTTATAAGTTTAGGCTAACAAAGAAAGAATTTTATTCAGCAGCAGTTCAAAATCTTAAAATACACTTTCGTCGTAAATTTCACGGCAGAAACGCAGGAATTCGATGAATAAAAGTCGCATTAAATCTCCTTGTGTCTAGGTAGAAAGAGTCTCATTGACTTCAGCTTTTCGGTGGAAGAAAAACCGATTTACACACGCCATTACAGAAAACAAACAAGCAGACTGACAACTCCAAAACACATATTTGCATTCACTTACAATTTGACTTTCCGTGACATTTTAAAACGGAACAGAGGTAAATCTTCGAAGATTAATCGTTGTTGNGATGAGAAATTTACGACGAAAGTGTATTTTAAGATTTTGAACTGCTGCTGAATAAAATTCTTTCTTTGTTAGCCTAAACTTATAAAATCGTTTGTATCTGGCGCATGTCAAACCCATTTGTAGCTTAAAGGTCAAACAGGGATTGTCACTCACTGAATTGGCTCGCCATCAAGTCTTGTGATCGCCTTCGTATGAAATCGTTTTTGTTGTTAAGTCAGCGTTTTACTAGTCCGCGTTTTACTAGTCAGGGTTTTACTAGTCAGCGTTTTACTAGTCCGCGTTTTACTAGTGCGCGTTTTACTAGTCCGCGTTTTACTAGTGCGCGTTTTACTAGTACGCGTTTTACTAGTCCGCGCTTTACTAGTCCACGTTTTACCAGTCCAGTCCAGTCCAGTCCAGTCCTCGAAATACCATATGCCGTCATGTCGACCATCACAAAATGTATACTTCAATGTGGCCATAGTGGTATAACGTCATAATTTGTGCTATATGAACTATTTTTCAAAATTTTTTGCACTATTCCATGAGTGTCTTCGTGCTAAAGCACTAGACACCAAAAATAGTTAGAATCTGTGATATCAAAATACCACTCTGGAGAGGAAGTGGTATAAAAACTAAGGAAAAGATGTTGGAAAGAAGCTTCATTCTCTTGGAACAAAAGAGAATTCCTGCCTTTGGGACAGGTCGTGAGTGCGTCTTCAAAACAATTTTTATTAGGGGTGAGTGTGTGTTTTTGGGAATCTAATTAATAATAATAATAATAATGATAATAATAATAATTTATAGCTTATATTGTGCAATTATCAATACAAGAATTTTCAATTGAGCATTACAATTAAAAGTTAAAAATTCAATTCTACATAGATACTGAAAAAAGTAAAAAATAATGTTCACTGGGAAGATGTAAAAATATAAATATTAGATACAAAGAATTAAAAAGCTTTTGCAAATAAAAAGGTCTTAATGGCTTTCTTAAACTTGTTTAAAGGTTAGGTGTTCCTAATAGAGCCCAGAAGATCATTCTACAGAAGACCAGCCTTTTTTCAGACTGTACACTCAGCTAACTGACTTTATTGCGGACTTTCCATTTTTGAAAAATGTTTCTGCCACTTAGCTCAACTACAAACAGTTCCTAACGAGAGGCCCACTGAAAATAAATTTCAAACCATTGTTGATGAAGTTGTTGTCGTAAAGTCAATTCCACTTAATTCCTTGTGAGTTATACCTTATTTCAAGGTATAACTAAGGACTAATATTCTAATTTACTATTATTATACACTTGGTAGAAAGCTTTATTCAAGTTAAAATTGATGTAACATTTCTTTGCTAACTGAGGTTAGCTGTAAATGTGTAGACAAATGGAGCAAATAGAAAATTTTCTTTGTAAGCAGTAAAAGAAAAGGGTCTCTCAATAGTCATTATTGCTGATCAGAGGTATGCACTCAGTAACTTTAACTGCCATTTTGCACTGATTGTAATACAGCGATGAAGTCAACAAACCAGTAAATTCACTCCAGAGAGACAAATCTGTGTGCCTCCATGGACATTTTCATGGGCATGTCACAAGACTTCTGAAAGGCTGTTTTCTACAAAGAAGCAGAAGGAACGAGTATTCTTGCTTTGTTAACTAATAAAATTTTTTGGAATTTTGCTCTGACTTGTAGGTTTTTGTCAACTATTCCTTCTAATTTTCATTGTAGTAATCATGTTAGGTATAATTATTGTATTCATTCATTGTCCATTCATATTGTAAGATTAAAGTGTTTACTAATTATTTTTAATGTAATTCATATTTATTTAGTCCTTAATTTTTTTTCATACCTCCATGTCAGTTTTTTTTGTCGAGATTGTCAGCAGTTTTCTTTGTTAGTTATACCTTTTTTGAAGGTTTCTCATACCACATTATTTTGCAGTCCTCTTGTATTCAAAGTCAGTTTCTTTTTCTCATAACTACTTTTTATAAGTCAGTTTACCTAAAGTCGCACTTGGTGTATATATCTCTATTTAGAAGTCTTCAAGTTATTTATTATTGCAGTTATAAATTAGAAGTTATCATGTTATTATGTTAGTATTTTTTTGTTTTGCTTTGTCTGAATTCATTTTTCTGTTTGTAATTTGTTTATCTTAGTTAAATTTTATTTATTTACTGCTACTACTGCTGCTGTGTAAATAAATATTTTGAGTTGAAAAGATAACACTTTTGCTGTTATACACATGATGATGTTGTAGCGATAATCATTCCTGCACATTTAAGCTTACACTGAGAACAGCTGAAATTAGATGTTTAACTTATTCAAGACTGAGCTTTACATGTGCCTATTGCATTACTTTTGACGGTGTTGTCCTCAGCAGGATGTTGGATTTGCATCCCAGATCAACTGTGACTCACACTGTCTAGCTTATCTGGAGATAATAGGAACACCAAAAATGTATACACTTTCTATAACATGAAGCTGTGAGAACCATTGTTTTCAGTGGAAGCTTACCCTACCCCTTACCTACCCCTGCTTCTTTTTTAGACCAAATCCAATGTCCTCTGGAATGAGGAAGGAAGATGCCTTGCTTGCGTGTTTTCTATAGATGAGTACAGACATCATAATTTGGGGAGATTTTACCCACACTATACCCGTAAAGGACAATCTTTAATCTATCCATCTTCCCTCAGAGTCCTCCAGGGGAATACAGAGGGAAGCTATTTGTATTTACTTGATAATCATGTTTATCAAGCCATTTTAAAGATATAAAAATTTTTCAAGAAGCAGAGTGTATTCCTTTAAGAAACAAGCATGGCATATTAAGGGGTGATATTGGTTGGGTAAAGTTGCTCAGGGATTTGCCACAAACTACAGGGTATGATGTTCAGGTTTCCAGGGAATACCTAACCACAGGTTGGATCTTCAACATGTAACTTGGAAAGGCGACCTGGCAGAAGTGTTGCACTACAATGATCTCTTTCAGTAACATTGCAGAGTGTAATCTTGAACCGGGTGGGAAAGTGAAAAACACTTCAACACGTAAGTGATGTTATGATTCTTAGGAGAAAGTCTGGTTTCAGCAAGGTGCACTATGGAAAATAATTACTGCAAATTGGTGATAGCTCAGAACTACAAGATTCTCGTCATGTTTCCTAAAAGGTATTAACTGACACTTTGTCTATGTGGCACTATTCCAAATATAACATGTTATGCTATCTTATTAGGGTCAAATATTTTCTTTTATAAGAGGTGTCTTTCATTGTCCCAAACTGTCACTTTTGATTGAGTCTACAGTGCTTGAGACAAATTTCTTGCCTTTTTTTTTTTTTTTTTACCATTATGGTTGTCCACTCAGCCCAGTTATTTTCAACCAACATTATCTTTTAGGCTTAACAATTATTGGATAAGCCTTTGCCTGGAACTAGTAATCAAATAACAGAATGGAAGATTGGTTTTACTGGAGAAGTACTGCATTGTAACATCAAAGTAGTGATGCCATTTTCATTCCTGTGATCATAAAGTAAATAAACCTCACT